AAACGTCCTCTACGGGAAGCTGTCCTGTAGTTTATATTTTAATGTGGGATACAATGTAATTTCTCCTCCTTCTCCTTGTGAGATACGTTTTTTGTGACTTTTGTTTTCTGGACAGGCTTTCCCTACACAGAGTAACAAATAAATATCATCTTTATTCCTGTTTAATTAGTTTTATTTACCTTTTTACATTAGTTCTTTGTCACCCTGAATTTATCTTGGAAATAAATATTGAATACTAATGTACTTTTTCACATTTATGTATGTCCTATTTTATTGAATTCTCTTTCCGCATTGGTTTGTGATGCCAGCTTTGCCATTCTATCAACTCTCATCGTATGGTGGGGGGTGGGTTGGCTTGTGGTCTTGCTGTTCATTGTTTAGCCTGTCTTGCTCTTTGTTTTAAGTTACTATAAGCTCTGCATATGATTTCATAACACCAGCTCCCAGCCTAATTTTTATTTACAAAATGGTCTTGATTATTCTTGGACATTAAGTTTCTTGAGAATGTAGGCTCCGTTTGCTCAAGTTTAAGTTTCAAATCCTTATGACTTTTATTGACTAATTTTGGAGAAGTAGAACCTTTACATTTGAGTTTTCTTATCCCTGAACATGTTATCTCTATCCATTTATCCATATCTTTTAAAAATATTCTTCAAAAAAGTTTTAGTTTTTTTCTACATCAAGGACTTGCACTTTTTGTTGTTGTTGTTGTTGCTATTGTGTTTTTCCTGGTATGGTTTTGTTTTTTAAAATTTCTGATTTGTATATTGAGCTCATATCCAGCATCTTGGGTAAAACCTATTAATTCTTATACATTTTCCTCCTCGATTTTTCTGTGCAGATGATTACATTGTACTAAATTAACAGCAGTGATTTTTCTCTTTATCAATTTGTGTGTCTTCTTTCTTATTTTAGTGGATAGTAAGGATCTTTAGAATGACATTGAATGGTAGAGATGATAGTGTGCATCCTTGTCTTTTTTCTGACTCTGATGGAAATTTTTCTAAAGCTTCATTTTGATTATTAGTTTAACAGGCTAAGGAACTTCCCTTTTATTTCTAATGGTTAGATTCTTTTAATAATCATTTTTGGTTTTTATTTTATTTTCTGCTTTATTATTCCTTCTCTTTTCTTTGTGTTAATAATAACCTTAGAATTATTTTTTTAACTTTCTGAGCTAAGTACTTAGCTGATTTATTTTCATTATATCTTTTTCTAAATATATTATTAATTATATTAATGAGAAAAAGCCAGACTTAAAAGTCGGTAAACCGTATGACTGCATACTGCATCATTCCATTCTTGTGACATTCTGATAAAGACAGAGCTATAGAGAGAAGAAAAATAGAGGAGTGGCTGCCTGGGAGTGGGGGAAGGCTTGATTACAAAGGGACACTGGTGGAACTGTTGTGATGGAACTGCTTTCTTTTCTTTGCTTTTCAATGTGCTTTTCAAGTTATTGTAATTGCTTTATAATTATATTGTGGCTAGAGAGTGTAGCCTGTATTGAGCTTTTAAAATTGTTGAGAAGGCCTATGGAACCTAATACTATCAATTTTTTGATAAATGTTTTATGCAGTCTTAAAAACAAATATTTCTATTCTTTTTATTGAATGAAAGGTGCTGAGTATTTCTGTTAGATTAAGATTATTGATATTATTTGAAACACTTAAATCCTTATTTTTATTTTTTGTCTGCTTGATGTATCAGTTATTTAGATGTGTTAAAAACTCCCATTAGGATTATAGATTTTTCCATTTATACACATGCTTTTCAGGTTTTGCTTTATATAATTTGAAGTTATGTTTTTATGGTTATATAGCATAATTGTTAAATTATCTTATTGGATGATTCCTTTCATTAGTAACAAAATCTCCTTTTTCCCTTTTAAATGCTGTTCATTTAAAATCTGTGATGT